TTTTTTTTTTTGTAGAATTTGGCGGCCTGATTAAAATTCATACGGCCATGCAAAAGACCTAGTAGAATTGAAATATCTTTGAAAAGAACAAACTTGAAGTGTTTACACTATCTGACCTCAAGAATTACTGTAAAGCTACAGTACTCACACAGTGAGATGTAGCATCAGGATCTGGACAGACAGATCAGTGGAGCAGAACAGAGAGTCCAGAAATAGACCTAGTGCCAGAAATAGACCTAGTGCCAGATTAATTGATGTGGGAAAGGAGCAGAGACAATTCAGTGAAGACAGGATAGTCTTTTCAACAACTGCAAATGGTGCTGGAACAATTAGACATCTGCATGAAAGAAAGAAAGAGAAAGAGAGGAAGGAAAGAAGGACTATCATTGATCCATAACCTCACACCAAACACAAAAGCTAACTCAAAATAGATCAAACACAAGCATCAGATGTTGCACACAGGTATTGATATTCAACTCTATACCCCACAGATATGTACAATTGACTATGTTCAAATTAAAAAGAAAAATCTAAAACAATGTTTTCTAAAAGAAAACATAGGAGAAAATCTTGGTAATTTTGGGTATCTAAGAATATATAAAGAACTCTCAAAATTCAACAATAAAAAAATGGGCAAAAGATCTGAACAGACGCATCAGTAAAGAAGATACACAGGTATCATATAACCATATGAAAAGATGCTCAGCATCAAGAGTTGTTAGGGAAATGCAAATTAAAACCACAAGGAGATGCCACTACACATCCATTACAATGGCTAAAATTTAAAAACTTGATCATTCCAAGTGTTGACAAGGATGTGGATTAACTGGAACTCTCACACTAATGGAGGGCATGTGAAATGGTACAACCACTTTGGAAAGCTGTTGGGTAGTTTCATAAAATTTTTAATATTCACCTGGCATATGATCTGGGAATTCCACTCCTGTGTGGAAATACATGTTCACACAAAGACATAGACTTGAATGTTCATAGCATCTTTATATGTGGCAGACTGTAACTGGAAGCAAGCCAGACGTCCTTCAACAGTGAATGCGTAAATGAAGTTTGGTGTATGTGTGCAGTGGGATATGACTCAGCAACAAAAACGAGAGCATTATACATGCAACCACACAGGTGAATCGCAAAATAATTACACTGAGTGAAGGAGCCAGACCAAAAGAGCACACTGTATGGCCTCGTTTATATAAGATTTTAGAGGATGCCAGCAAATCTGTAGGGAGAGAATGCAGATCAGTGATTGTGTCGGGGTGTGGGGTACGGGGTACAAGAAAGCTTTTAGGAGTGAGGAAGCTTTGGGGAGTGAGGAATATATTCATTTTCTTGATTGTCTTACTGGTTTTATGGGTCTGTACATAGGTCAAAACATATCAAACTATATACCTTTTATCACATACCAATTACATCTCAATAAAGCTGTTAAAGTAATTCATTGTATTTAAAACCTGAGTTTGTATGTGTTTTTTTTTTTTCTGAATTTTGACAATGTGGGAAGAGGACAATTAATGAGCATCTACAGTATGTCAGGAACTATGCTAGGCCATTTATACGTGTTATTTAACTTTCATGATAATCTTCATTTTAAAGAAGAAAGTTAGCTTATTTTTCTCCCTTTAGCATAAGGAAACTAGACTTGAAAAGACTAAGAGGTCAGGGGCATGTTCACTAGCAGATATCTGTATTGATTTTCTATTTTTCTCCTTTTAACTCCCCATGAATTTTTATTTTTATTTTTTTTTTATTTATTTATTTTTTTCCTTTTTGCCTTTTTCGTGTCCAGCAACAGCCCATGAATTTTTATTAAACTAAGAAATAGACTTCCTCCTGATAATTCAGACAAGAGACAGTCAAGGATAGGCTTATTCTGTCTTTCAGAGTCTCTCCCCAAGACAGTCTCAGTGGGATGAATTGCCCTTCAGGTGTCTGAACAGCATCTGGGAAACACCTATTTCATAGTCACGTGTTGTCCCCAACTTTCACCATGTTCAATTCAAAGTTGGCAATACTGAAGGAAGTTGGGAATTTTTAGTAAAATGTGATCATCTTCTGTACCCAGAGATGCCCATTTCAGATAGGGAAGCCTAAGAGGTAGAACAGTGACACATCACCAATGCTGCCCCATTTCACAGAAGATAAAAGCACATTTTCTTGTGAACTTATTCCGTCAAAAAGCAAATGAATAAAATAAGTAGATGGTGAAGTAGACAAAAGAGTCAGTTGTCAGC